CTGTTCATTGTTTGAATTTTCATTTCTGTTTTGGGGAATGGCTCTAAGTCTTATAAATTTGAATTGGTTCCTTACATTTCTTAGATATGAAACCTTTATCAGTGAAACTTTCTAACTTTAATTATATTAGCTTTTTAAAATTTAAAATTTAAATTTTTTTTTGGTGAGGCAATCAGGGTTAAGTGACTTGCCCAGGGTCACACAGGTAGGATTTGTCAAGTGTCTGAGGTCAGATTTGAACTCGGGTCCTCCTGACTCCATGGCTGGTGCTCTATCTACTGTGCCACCTAGCTGCGCCTAATTATATTAGTTTTGTTTGTGCAAACCCTTTTGGATGTTCTATCATCAAATTTGTGCATTTTACCTCCTCTAATCCACTCTATTCCTTATTTGGTCATGAACATTTCTCCTTTCCATAGATTTGAAAGATAATTTCTTCCTTGCTCCTTATACTTGCTTGTGATGTCAAATTTTATTGGGTGACCAGCACACCTTCCAATTTGTACATGACAAGATGATGCATGGCTATTTCTGTATCCCTCAACAATATTCCAGGTCTTTTACAAATTTGATGCCAGAATGCCTAGGTTTCCAAAATTTTCTGGATTTTTTTTTTATTAGACACCCACATCTTCCAGCCTCCACACAAAGGTTCTACTAAGGCAGCTATGGAAACTTCTCTTAGTTGGATCCAAGGCAGCTATAGTTTCTGCTCTTGCTAAGTTGGGTGCTGAGTCCACATAGGTTTCTCCCTTGCACTTCCCATCCTCCAGTACCTGGACAGTCTACTTGCTACTTGATCAGCACCTCCTACTGAGTCTTTTGGGGATTTGGCATCGTACCTACACTCCCTTTTCTTTTCCCACTTTCTTCTGCAGGAGCTGGGCCTGGTTATGCAACTCACCTTGGGGCTTCTCCAAGAGTCTTGAGATAAATGGAGTAGGTGTTAGAACCAGTTCCTTCCAGCTCAGGTACCTGTATTCAAGGAAGAACATGTGCTACAGGAGATGATTCCTGTAGATCCTAAGAAACATGGCTCGCAAGTTTCAGTCAGCCTTCTTCCCCTCTTTCTCACTCTAGCCTTCTGACAGAGTGAGGGCAGGCTTAGGCAGAGATTCACCTTTGCCTTTTCAGACTCTGTTTCCTTCTGTTTCCACCTTGAACCATTTCTCCTGTTCTTTTAAGGAAAATTTCATTCTCTTTGATAACACAGAGATTAGAGGGGGACTGGCCCTTTCAACTTTTCCCCTAGCAAGGGGAATAACCTGCCTTTTGTCTACATGTAGTTGTTACTTGGCACTAAAAGAAACACAAGAGTAGTATAATCTCTGTAGGCCACTGGAATATTCTTCTAACTTTTCATGAAACTGTATGCTAAGAACTGTTAGGTCCTGTACCCTAGAGCAGCATACACCCAAACCCTGTTAAATTCATGGTAATATTCTCAAGTCCTGAGCAAAGTGCCAAGAATGGCATTTAATGCTCCCATATTGCCTCTCAGTTCATCACTGTCACCATTTTTTCCTCAGAACCATCAGTAGAAATTATGAGACTTCCCATCCTAATGATTTTCTCTCTTAGCCTTCACACAGCACTTTGTTTTTAGGACTTTCTGACAAACTTATCATTTTTACCATATATTAGAACTCTGTTGGTGTTTAATACCCCAAATAGATTGCAAATTCCTTGAAAGCAGTGACTTTATAATAATGAATAACTAGCATTTATATAGTGCTTTAAAGTTTTCAAAGCATTATATGTATGTGTGTTTCTGTTATATATATTATTTTGTTGTTCTTGTTTTGTCTATGAGTCATATCCAAGCTCATTTGTGGTTTTCTTGGCTAAGATACTAGAGGGGTTTGCCATTTCCTTCCCCAGCTCGTTTTACAGATGAAGAAACTGAGGCAAATAGGATTATGTGACTTGCCCATAGTCATATAGCTAGTAAGTATCTGAAGCTGGATTTGAACTCAAGTTATTGTACCTCCAGGGCCGGTACTCTATCCACTGTGCCACCTAGCTGCCCATATGTATTATGTAGAATGAAAAAAATATTATATAACATGTAACATGTAAACCAATATATAGAATATAGCAATTATATTAATATAATTAATACATAATATAATCTACAAACATTATTTATATCATTTCCTTTGATATTCAAGACAACCCTATGAAGTAGGTAGTATTATTATCCCTATTTTACAGATAAAGAAGCTGAGGCTGAGAGAGATTAAATGATTTGTCCAAGGACACTCAACTAGTGAGGGTGTGAAGTATGATTTGAACTCTGATCTTCCTGACTCCAGGTTCAGGGCTTTATCCACTGTACAGCCTAGCTGCCCTAGTTATCTAAATTTTATAAACCCCTCCTACACTGCCATTATCATCAACTTCCTTCTCATCTTCATCCTCATCCTCATCCTCATCATCTCCATTACCTGTGTCTGTCACTGTGAATAAAGAGATGACTATGAAAGTCTATCCCTTCAAAAGGCTTTATGTAACCATAGGCTACGAATGTCTCTTCTTAATTTTAAGGAATTCTTTGTGTTAGAATCCTATACTTTTTGGAATACAAAGGGCCTTTTGAGATCATCTGGTCCAACCCCTCATTTTATACTTGAGGAAACAGGTTTGGTGATTGCCCAAATATGCATAGCTAGTTAGGGGCAGAACAGGATTACAGAGGAAGAGCTTCAAGGAACTTTGGAGGCATCTAGTTGAATCCCCCATTTTATAAATGAGGAAATGAAGGAACAGAGAGATTAAGGTACTTGACCAGAGTCACACAGCCAGTGTGTGGGGAACAGAGTGTAAACCCAGATCTCCTGACTTCTGTCCCAGATACCAGACCTCAGATGCCATTTTGGAGATGGCAACTGTGACACTTTAGTGAATTTGTACCAAGCAGAGAGTAACATCTGGGGCTGAGGGAAAAGCCCTCGTCCTCATTGTATATATTGTCACCACCATCAACAGAAAGCCTTTAGTAAGTGCCTTTTTGTGAGGGCTGCCCATCAGCACGAGATGTAATTCTGTGCTTAAGCCCTCTCTTTCCCTAGGCCTTGTCCTACCTAGTCCTCGAGGTCAGGAGCCCTGGGGGTAGCACTGACAGCAAGCTGTCAGATTCACAGATGGGCTCTGGGACCCACAGCTTCTCTCTACCTGCAACAAGTACCAGCTGCCATTGCCAGGACAGTCCGCATTTGGTGGCATTTGTACAAGACAAGAACTATCACATTGAGATGGTAGAGAGGCAGGTAGAGATTGCACATTCTCCATAGCCACTACTTCAGAGGGATCCCTTCTGCTGCTATCTGGGTGGCTTGAGTGGACTTTACACCAGTGATGGTATTATGTTTAATAACCTCAAATAGAATTATAAACATATAGTTCCTGCCCTTAGGGAGCTTACTATCTAAGGCAATCACATTGGTAAAGTTAAATTTAGAGAGCCAGAAGGATATGTGATAAAAAAAATATGTTGAGCATGATTGTCTCCTGGTATGGGGTATGTGTGTGTGTGTGTGTGTGTGTGTGTGTGTGTGTGTGTATGTCTGGGGTGAAGGTAAGTTGTTGTTCCTCTGTGTTTTTTATATGGTAGGCTGAGAGGAGAACCAGTCCCTTCCAAAAACATCTTTTGGGGCTTCTCTCCTGGCCGTGTATTGATAGAAAGGCATGCGAGATAATAGAGTTATAGCTTCATCCCTTTGACAGTTCTGCCATATGCACAGAGGCTAGGGTGGTGGCGGTGGGGAGAGTTTGGTGCTTGCCCTTGAAGTGGAGGAGAGAACATAGCAGGGGGTCAGTCTTCTTTCCACCCTCCACATCACTTCTCCTGGGGATGAGCTGATTATGGTAATTCATAGAGAGGAAGGATGACATTTTGATGGGGTAAAAGGGCCCCCAAAATATCTCTTCAGCTTTCTCCAACTGAATGACTTCTCAGCCTTCAGAGAGGGAGCCTGCTGTCCAAACACCACTTTAGGATTACAGGTCACTTTTTTTTTTTTTGGCAGAGAAAACAACCACAGTTTAGGAAGAGGACTTGGGAACGAAGCCTCCCTCCTTAGAGTGTCCTCTCCGGGGTGCCAGGGGCTCTTTTTGCCTTTCTATGTATCCCCGACACTTAGCACTGTGTCTGGCACACAGTAGGTGCTTAATAAATAGCTGTTGACTGATTTCCTTTAAGCCTATTCTTAACTCCTTCAATGGCCTAGAGAATATCACTTCACACAGTTTTTCTTTCTGATATGACCTGGGTAGGAGGCTATTCAACCAGGAGATTGGTGTTTTCTTGGAAGGTGTCAGTCAACATCCAGAAGGGTCTTTAGGAGAAGTCTGTCTTGCCAACTCTTGGTGATCTGGGGCTAGATAAACCAGTGCATGGATTAGCAAGCCTTGTTCCTGTTGCCTTTGGTATTATTTTATTTTTGATAGAGAAGGAGCAGGAGGTTAAATGCAGAGTAGTTTATTTTGCTTTTTTATTAGCAACTCCTATGAAATATTCACGGGGGAAGACATTGAAAGCGCTGGCTTGTTTTACTTCCTATGTCTGCTTCCCTTTACCTCACTTTGCCCATTTTTACTATGTGGCCTTGGGGAAATCACTTCCTTTCTCTGGGCCTCAGTTTCCTTATCTGTAAAATGAAAGGCTTAACATCCCTTTTATCAACCGTCCTATAATCACATGATAATAACTGTCATTTATGCAGTGCTTTACATTACATTATCTCCTTTCAGCCTCAGTTTAATGAAGTCAACAGCATCTCCATTTTACAGATGGGGAAACTGGGGCTCAGAAAGGTGAAGGGCCTTGCTCATGTTCACACAGTAAGGGATGGTGGGATTTGCACCAAGGCCACCCACTCTGTCTACTCTGTCTTGGAGTTTATAGCTGACAGTTGTCTTTAAGAGATTCTTTATACGTTGCTTTAATAAGTAACTTAGGTTTGCCATTGACTAATTTGATTCTCCTCTTTTCTTTTCAGATAATTGCCTTTGATGAATTAAGGACGGATTTCAAGAGCCCCATAGACCAATGTAACCCTGTTCATGCGGTGAGTAGGAACTAGGTGAGCTTGAAATGAGAGATGTTGCATGAGCTTATTCAAGCAACCTGTGCTGGAGGGAGTGGGAGGTAGTGGTAAGAGTGTGGGCCAGAAATCAGCAGGTCTGGCTTCTAAGAATTGGTTTGTCATTGATTGTTTGTGTCCCTTTGGGCAATATACTTTCCTTTTCTTGGCTTCAGTTTCCTCATTTGTAAGATGAGGATTCAAAAATCAAGGCTCTGATTTTCAAGGTCAAATCTAGTCAACAAGCCAATGAGCGCTTAGTAAGCACCTGCTGCATGTTAAATGCTGGGGATACAAAAGAAAGACAAGCTCATGGTTGAATGGAGGAGACAAAATGCACTGTACAACTATGCACTGTACAGAGAAGATATAAATTAGAGATAATCTCGTGGGGAAGACAGCAGCATTAAGGGGGATTTGCAAAAGGCTTCTTGCAGAAGATTGTGTTTTTGCTGGGATTTGAAGGGAGTTAGAGGACTCAGTAGGCAGAGATGAGAAGAGAGAACAAGCCAGACTTGGGGGAGGGGGGCAACCAATGAAGATGCTTGGAGTTGGGAGAGGGAATGTCTTGTGAGGGACAGCAAGGAAGTCAGTATCACTAGAGGTGAGTAGTGGGTAAAAAGACCAGAAAGGTAGGAAGGAGCCAGGTTATGAAGTGGGGAGAGAAGGAGACATATTTGAGATATGTTGTGAAGGTAGAATCAATAAGTTTTGGCAACAAAAATGAGGGTGAGAGAGAGTGAAGGGTCAAGGATGACTTCTAGGTCCCCAGTGTGGGTGACTGGGAGAATGACGGTACCTTCCACAGTAACAGGGAAGGTAGGAAAGCAAGGGAAGGTTTTGAGGGAAGGATGAATTCAGTTTTTGGACAGGTTGAATTTAATATCCCTTCTAGATCCTTCTATGAACCAATGACACATAGCCAAACCACTTTCAAACCAAATGTATATTAGCTTCCTGTTGCAGATTGGAACTATTTTTCATTTACCTTTGAACCACATACTCTGTGGACCTTTTGCTCAGTAAAATGTTGTTCACGACCAGTTTCTCATCTTCCCTCTTTCCTCCTTGCTCTCTGTTGGTAATCCAAGTCTATAACAATTGATAGGGTTTCACTGATGCTCTCCGTTTCCCTGAGTGTTTCTGCTCTAACGCTAACACAGACCTGTGTCTGAGCCAGGTTCATAGAAGTACCCTGGAGGGAGAGAAAGGAGGCTTCCATTGACAAATTCTGATGAAATCTATTTCCGAGACAGACTGTCTGTGTCTGAACTTTCATCATCCTAATCGTATCAAGGCTGGAATTAAAAAACAATACACTTAAAGTGTCCAGTGCCTTCCCTACTCCAACCTAGAAAAAAAAAGTGTGTGTGGTGTGTGTGTGTGTGTGTGTGTGTGTGTGTGTGTGTGTGTGTGTGTGTGTAGGTGTAGGAGGTGAAGATGCTACCCCGAATCATCAGCCTATTTCCCTCCTCTGGAGGCAAAAGTCTTCGGTGAAATCTTGGCACCTTCCTGTGAAGGCAGGCCTCCATGCGCAGTGGGAATTCACTTAGTTTTGGAGAACACAAAAGCAGCTGAGGAGTGTTGCTTGCTAAGGTTGTGTAACACTGAAATTGGGGCTTGACTTAGCCTTCTGACAGCAACAAAAATTCCACTGGGCTCTTCAGTTATTATTTAGGTATCTTTGTCACTGCATAGCCTGGGGCATCTGAAAGGATGAATGGGGCCCCAGATGTTCCTGGGAAAGTCACCTCAGTCAGAGATTAAATGAGTAGGGAGAATAAAGGGAGCTAGGTTTTCTGTGTACTCCCTGGTGGTATGTTGGATGCTGTGGGAGGCTCATTAACTCGTCTAAGCTACCAGGGTGCTTATGGGGGCAGGGTATCTGGCTGGCCTGAAAGAATTCATTAGAGCCTACTACTAGTGGGTAATAACTGAACTGTGGATGTTAATGATTAAAATAGTAATAGCAAAAATAATAGCTAGCATTTATATAGTGCTTTGAAGTTTGCAAAGCACTTAATAGGATTCAATTTGATCCTTGCAACAACCCTTTGAGATAGATGCTCTTATTATTCCCATTTTACACATGAGGAGATTGAGTTGAGTAAGGGGAAGTCACTTGGCTAGGGTCACAATGCACTGGTAGCATCTGGCTTATGTCATTGCCATAAAGTGATACAGTAAAGGTTGATGAGCTTCAGAGTGAATTTTGATAAGCCATTCGTTTTAGCTTCAAAGGCTTTCAGGGAAGTACTAAGTCTTAGACTCTGTGCCAAGCAGATCCTGAGATAGGCACCTTCCCAGGTATGGAAGGAAGACTGCCCTGGATTTTGGCTCCCCTCACTTCCTTCTTTGTATGCCTCTCCCCTCCCCATGAGATGGAAGGTTTTATTTTTCTTTTCTTTTGCTTTCTTTTATTTTCTCCTCCTCTTTCTTCCTCTCATTCCTTTTTCTTCCTTTTTCTTCCTCCTCCTCCTCCTCCTCCTTCTTCTTCTCCTCCTTCTCCTTCTTCTTCTTCTTCTTCTTTTTCTTCTTCTTCTTCTTCTCCTCCTCCTCCTCCTCCTCCTCTCCTCCTCCTCCTCCTTCTTCTTCTTCTTCTTCTTCTTCTTCTTCTTCTTCTTCTTCTTCTTCTTCTTCTTCTCCTTCTCCTTCTCCTTCTCCTTCTCCTCCTCCTCCTCCTTCTCTTTTTCTCCTCCTCTTCTTATTCCTCTCTTTCTTTCTCTACCTCTTCTTCTTCCTCTTCCTTTTCCCTCTCTTCCTCATCCTTTCTTTATCTTGTTTGGGAAGGGGAAGGAGGAGGGAGAGAAAATAAATATGAAAAATAAAAATAAATTAAATTAAAAGGAAATGTTTGTGGAAATGAAAACCAAACCAAACCCTGAGCTCCTTCTCTTTGTGAGTGTGCCTTAATTGTCCCTGATGTTGATTACCTCCTCTGTATAAGAGGTAAGAATAGGGGTCATTATATTTATGATTTAATTAAAAAACAGTTTTGGAAACTCTTTACTATCAGATCTATGGAAATGAAATCACTTATATAAAACTAGCTGACATTTATATAGGCTTTAAGGCATAAAGTACTCTACCCACATTATTTCATTTGCTTCTGACAACGACCCTATGAGGCAAATGCTACAGATATCATGCCTGTTTTATAGAGGAGGAGACTGAGGCTCACAGAGATTAAATCATTTGGCCATGGTGCTATGGATAGTAAGTGTCAGAGACAGAATCCAAAACCAGGTATTTCCTGACTACTGGAGTCAGGCCCAATACTCTTTCTGCCATATCATGATGGAACTTACTATGGCAAGTAGCACAGCCATACTCAAGATGGCATCTGGTATGATGAAACACTGCTGCAAAAAAATGAAGGGACCACCCAGTGAGTGCACTATAACCAGTGTTGCCTGCTCTTCTGCCACAGAGCCTCTCCACTTGACCATGAGCCAGACTTTGGAGATAAATTATGATCTCTTAAGAGACTCTCAATCTGAGTCTGAGTCTATTGGTATTTAATTTAATGGATAGATTGATTTGTTTCCCCCCTCCTACTTTGGAAGGTTAAAACTAAGAGGCAGGGGAACTTGCTCTGCATTAAAGACTAGCCTTGGCACACCCTGTTCTTTCTAATTTGCTGAGATAGTCAAATGGAAATTCCCCAAGGCTGGGCAGGCTGAAGGCCTTAGGAAGCTTCAGAGACAGGTGATGTTGGCTCTGCAATTATTTCCCAACAGCCCATGTGGCGCCAGGGAGATAGACCTAGATTCTTCATTTTGGAGAAGGGTGGAGAGGCAGTCCACCGTTGATACTGAAGGGTGCAGGGAATCTGTTGGAAGCCTTGGGGCTTAGCAGAAGGCTTCTTCATATATAGGCAGAGATTTAGATCTGGAAGGGCTGTAGTCTAGGGGTTCTTAATCTTCTTTTGGGACCCCTTTTGACAGAGCTAGTACAACCTCTTGACTCCTTCTCAGAAGAATACTTTTAAATACATACATCAAAAAGGAAACCAATTAGTTTGAAGTATAGTTTTCAAAACATTTTTTAAAAAAAATCATGGATCCTCTGAAATCTGTTCCTGGACCCACAAACCCCAGGTTGAGAAACTCTGATCTAGTCTAACCCCCTCATTTTTCAGTTGGTCAAACTGAGGCCCACAGAATGCAAATGACTTGCTCAAGATCACAGAAGGAAAGAGGCAGCATGGTATAGTGGAAGAGTACTGACTTTGGTGTTAAAAGGTCTGAGTTCAAATCCTACTTTTGTCACTTCTTCCCTATGTGACCATGGGCAATTCATGTAATTTTTCTGGGCCTCAGTTTCCACATATGTAAAACAAGAGGGGTTGGATTCTGTGGTCCCTTCCAGCTCTAAGCCTATGATATTTTTCTTTGAACTATATTTGAAGCAACAAATTCACCATCAGAGAAAACAATAGATAGAGAAGAATGTTTGCAGTCCTGGAACCTCCATGTTGAGGAAGGGCCCAGTCCAGTCATACATTACTTTCTAGACATTGCTTCCATGCTTTAGCCACCTTCTCCTTCTGCCTCTGTGGTTCCTTTCTGCTATTGGGGAATCTCTCCCAGAACCTCCATTTTGAGGAATGGCCTAGACCAGCCATGCTTTATTCTCCCAACTTTGCCACCATGCAAGAGTTAGAGTACCTTCCCTTCAAACCCTCTTCTCTGCTTTTTATCTTTCCATTATGTGTTGTATTCTTCCATTGGAATGTAGGCTCCTTGAGGTCAGGGACTGTCTTTATTTTTGCTTGTATTTTTATCCTCAGTGCTTAGCAAAGTACCTGGCATACAGTAATAAATGCTTAATAAACGCTTGTTAACTTGACTTGACTTGATCCGTATTGTATGGGACAGAGACCACTTACTCAAAATAAAAACAAACACTTAGATACGTTGAAAGCAGAAAGGAGTTTATTGCTTTCTCATGAGAAAGGGTACCACCCCTAGTTACCACTGCTGGCAAGGAGAATACAAATTCGTTACAGAAATCAAGGCTTATTTATACCCTAATGCAGACTCCTCCTCCCTAACCCCCCTTCCCCTTATCCCATTGGCTGGGCTTTCAGGGGGCACAATCTATTCACGGAAATCTAGAACAAAGGCAGTTACACAAGTTTGCCCAGAGACTAGAAAAGGCTGGAAGTTTTGCAAGGGCTAGCAGTTCAGGTTGGGGGCTATTCTTTCTGTTATGTGCTTAAAAACAGGGTCTGATCGGGGGAGGATTTTGAAAACAATACAAGAACTATTAACAAAAACTATTGACCCTTTGAGGAGGCTTCACTTCTGAGAGATCATCTCTCACAATGTGATATGAGCCACTGACCTTAAAAAAAATTCTTAATTGGATATGTGGTTATGGGGGATGGGCTTGATTAAATATGATTCATACATATTGCTTAAATCTATGTGTGGTTTGGGTGTGGCTTAAATCTGGGAGAACTCTGAAGTCATCAGGGGACTTAGGTTCAAATCCTGACTTTGCCATTTACCATTCTGACCTTGGCAAGTTACTTAACCTTACTTGGTACCCTTTTTTTGGGGGAGGGTGTTAAATGGCCTTTTCCCCCTGGTACATGCTGACTACGTGTGATATTTCAAGAGAACTCTAACCTCACTCTTCCCTTTCTTTCTTCTGTGCCCTTTCACAGAGAGAACGGCTGAGAAACATTGAACGCATCTGCTTCCTTTTGAGAAAAGTGAGTAAGTGCAGGACATTGGTGGCTCTGGTTGTGAGGTTCACATGGGGCAGGCAAGATGGTGGATATTTAGAACAAACATACCCTGCAACCTACCAGGTTCAGGCTGTATCTCCCAAAGGGCCAAGCTAGGGCCTTATAATCAGCACTTGGGAAGTCTTGAGAGACAAAGGGAATCTAATTAGAAGGGGGTAGCCATCAATCAAAGTGTCAGGGTAATACTGGGTATTTGCAAATGCCCTGGGGCTGGGTTTAATAACCTTTTTTCCGTTGTGTGGTGATGGATGGTGGTGCAACTGATTTTGCCTCACTCTGCTGTTGTAGATATCTCAGTGTCAAGTTTGCCCTAAAAAAAAAGCTTGTTTCCCCCTTAGGGATTCCATGATTAGAAGATGGGTTTTTGTGTGTGTGTTTATAAGTTGTCACCGTATTCAAGAAATTGATTAGCAGCTTCTTTGGGGACACAAATTGTGATTAAGGTGTAGCACAATTGCTTCTCTTTTTGAGGTTGCTGTGTCACTTAAAGAAGGTTATTCTAGGTTATGGGATTTTAGAACTGATGAAAATTGGGAGTTGGCTGCTATAAAACTTAGTAAATGTGTTTATGCCAGTAAATGATCACGTACATGCGTGTATAGCCTTTACAAGGTGGTTGGAACTTCCAACTTGGAAATACTTCTAAATGTTGGTGGGAAACAACAGTGCCTGACAGATGCCTAATGTGCCAATTAAGGATGAGGCTATTCCTTCAGTTAAAGGGGCTGAGAAGAGTGGTATAGTTAGCAGAAAGAGTCCTGGATGAGGAATCAGGATTCTGGGTTCAAATCCTGCCTTGCCATTTGCTGCTTTGATCTTGACAAATCACTTCTCCATTTTGGGCTTTGGTTTCTTCACCTGTAAAATGAGGAGGTTGATCTAGAAGACCTTTAAGGTCCTTTCTCAATCTAAATATATGATTCCAAAAGTATTCAACAGGTCCAACAACTAGCTCCTGGAGCCTCATACCGAAGGACAGTGTGAAAGGCACTATTGGTTATAAGGAAAGTGATTGGTCAGCAAATATTTAATTGAACCCTACTAGGAATGAAGGAGAGGACAGTTGTCTATGGTAGGGAAGAATTTGAAAATTTATTAATTTTTCTTTCTCTGTACTTTAGATCAATAAGATAATTGTGGTTCCTATAACTGAAAGTACTTTGTCTATTGGTGAACCATGAACATTAATAAATGAAATTGAATTAGCATTTCCTTAATGATGTTTGAATTCTATATTTTCCATTTCATAGTGAAGGTAGGCTAAATTAAGTCATTCATATGGATATACTTCTGATCAAGGCATAAAGTATGACCTGAAGAATTCATGGCAAGGAGAGGCAATGTGGTTAAGTACTGTGCTGATGATTTTTCATTTTCCTTTTATTCAATTTTATTACGCCATTTGTCCTGGAACATTTGGTTAACTGATGCTTGTTTCCTCTAAATATTAACTTTACCTAGCTAAAACCTGACTCATGGAATGATAAAATGAAGGGAAGACTTTTTGACATTCCTCAGATAAGAAGCCAAAGGGGAGTTTGAGCTTCCCAAAGTGCCTTAGCTATTTGTGGAAGGATTCTTCTGGTTCTGAGATGTTGGGAACCTGATTGCATTTATCATGTAGAATCTGTTTAACTAGATTTCCTTAGGGAATGTATGAGGTTATGATTCTGTTTAAGTTTGTTCAAATTTATGGCTTAAGAAAATATATTAGATTGCTATGTGTCAAAAATTATTTCTGTCTCTGATGTTATTTTGTCTATAAAAAGCATCATTAGAATCCTAATCTTTGTTTGGGGTTATTTTTCTGCCTCTTGAACCTGTTAAGCATTTTAAACCCAGGTTTTTAACCTCTATAATTTCTCTGTTGTGGTAGATTTATTCGGCAGCAGTAACCAACTACATTAACTCAAAGAGGAGATACTTCTCCCCTAGCAGAACAAATAAAGTGTCAGGCCATGGATTTGAATCCCAGATCTGCCACTTAGGATTATAGATTTAGATCTAGAAGGGACCTTGGAGGGCATGTAGTCTAGAGGAATCAAACGCTGGTCCACATATGGCCTGCAGCACTCCCCATGAGGCCTGAGCCAGGTTAAAATGCAATGGGGAAATATTTAATAAAATAAAATATAAAAATACAATAAAGCAAAGAAAATAAAATATTTTAAAACTAAGTCAGTATGTGGAGATCAGCGCACTGGCTAGAGTGCTGGGCCTAGAGTCAGGAAGATCTGAATTCAAATCTAGCCACAGACACTTACTAGCTATGTGCCTACGGGCAAGTCACTTACCCCGTTTGCCTCAGTTTTCTCAGCTATAAACTGAGCTGGAGAAGGAAATGGCAAACCACTCCAGTATCTTTGCCAAGAAAATCCAAATGGAGTCATGAAGAGTCAGACATGATTGAAAAAGACACCACCTGACCAAGAATTGGAAATTGGAATGCCCATCGATTGGGGAATTGGCTGAACAAGCTGTGATATATGAATGTAATGGAATACTATTGTGTTATAAGAAATGGTGAGCAGGTGGACTTCAGAAAAACCTGGAAAGACTTATATGAACTGATGCTGAGTGAAGTGAGCAGAACGAGGAGAACATTGTGTATAGTAAAAGCCACATTGTATGATGACTGACTTTGATGGACTTATCTCTTCTTAGCAATGCAAGGATCTAAGACAATTCCAAAAGACCCTGAATGGAAAAAGCTATCCACATCCAGAGAAAGAACTGTAGAATCTGAATGCAGATGGAAGCATACAATTTGCTTTCCTTTTCTTTTGTTGTTTTGTTTTGATTCTTCTTTTTTGTGGTTTCTCCCATTGGGTCTAATTTTTCTTTATATCATGACTAATGTGAAAATATGCTTAATATGAACATATAAATAGAGCCTATATCAGATTGTACACAGTCTTGGGAAGGGGGTAAGAGAGGGATGGGGAGAAAATTTGAAACTCAAAATCTCATGGAAGTGAATGTTGAAAACTAAAAATAAATAAATTGTTTAATTAAAAAAAAGACAAAAAAGACACCACCACCACCACCACCACCACCGGTGTGTCCAGTGTGTGGACTGCAAGGATCCTTATGCGCAGATTAGAGGCCCTGTTTCTATTAAAGTTTCACACCATTGATACAGGCCAACCCTCTCATTTTACAGTTGAGGAAACTGAAGTCCAGAATGGTAAAGTTCCTCCTGGAACTTCCATTTTGAGGAAATGCTTGGGACAACCATGCTTACTCCTCCATTTTGTTTTCATCTCCTTTCTCAACTTTTTCACCATGTCCTTGCTTGGGTTTTCTTCTCTTCTCAAATTCCATTTTTTCAATTGCTTTCTTCTTCTCTCCTCTCCTTTCTTCTTCTCCCTATCCCTTCCTTCCCTCCCTCCTTCCCTCCTTCCTTCCTTCCTTCTTTCCTTCCTTTCTTTCCTTCCTCTCTTTCTTCCTTTCTTTCCTCTCTTTCTTTCTTTCTTTCTTTCTTTCTTTCTTTCTTTCTTTCTTTCTTTCTTTCTTTCTTTCTTTCTTTCTTTCTTTCTTTTTTCTTCCTTCCTTTCTCTCTCTCTTCTCCCTCCCTTCCATTATCTTTCCCTTTTCTCTCTTTCTCTTTTTTCTATCTCTGTTTCTGTCTCTCTACCTCCCCTTACCTCTTCTTTCCTCCCTCTCCCTTTCTTTTCTTCTCTCCTATCCTCCCTCCTTCCCTCCTCTCATTAAAATATTAGCTTCTTGAGGGTAAAGACTTTCTTTTTCACTTGAATTTGTATTCCCAGTCCTGTATAGCACAGTGCTTGGCACATAGTAAGCACTTAATAAATGTTTATTGACTTAAATGACTTTCCAAGATCAAGATAGTAAATGACAGAGACAGAATGTAAAGTGATTTTAGAAATCATGTAGTTAGGTCCTCTGATTTTAAAGATGAGGAAACTGAAGCCCAGAGAGGTCAAGTGACTTGCCCAAACTCACACTCCTTGGAAGTGGTAGAGTTGGAATTTGAACTAGGCTCTCAGATTTCATATCTGGGGCTCTTTCCATTGTATCACATTGCCTCTCACTTTTGTTACTTTGCCTCTAGGGATCTCTTTTCTTCACCTGTAAAGTAAGGGCTTTGGACTTGATAACTATTAGTCCTTTCCATTTTTAAATCCTATGATTTGGAATTAGGTATATACCAGAGAGTCATTATAATTTTGCTAATGGTTCTCCCCTGCAGAGGTGCTTGGCATCACTCTCTCTTTTCCTCTAACCCCTTATTATCTCATTCTTTAGGTCTGACACACAACTCAATATAATAGCTTCTGGGCATAGTAAAATTAAAACAGATATCCCAAATCCTGGGTTATTTTTCTTATTGACACTCAGAATGCGTTCCCCTTCTGCATTCTCTGGCAGGAGGCAGAGAGAATGAGGAAGGCAGAGCCACAGCCCAGGTCAACCAGGATATTTGCTTTGCAGTAATAATCCCGTTGCTCCATCATTTGCTTGCTGCTCCCAGTTTGAATGCACATTGCTAATGGTTGCTGTCACTGCCTAGCCCTAAAAGAGTGCTTTATTCTGAGGTCCACATTCTGGGTTGTGAATTTATTAGTGACCCAGCCATCATGTATGTATTTATATACAGTTTGCAATACCTATGGAGTTAACAGATTGAGTCTTAGGCAGTTTTTGAGAAAAAAAAATTTGATGACCTTTTTCTATTTTAGATTCATTTTCATTCACCCATACTCAATGATTCCATTTTTCTCTAGGTCCCTTCTGCCCCCATTCCTTCCCCCTGCTGCTGTCCATGGTTCTAACCTCGCCACCTTCTCCTCCCATCCAGCGTTAGCCCAGGAAGTTGGTGCTTATCTCCTGCCTAAAGCCAATTCTTCACTCCATCCCTTCTGTAAACACAATTCAAGCACACATTAAGCATATGCAGCAAAGTAAGGCGTCCTGAGCCTAAATATCTCTACCTTGAAAGT